CTAATGTTAACTTCCTTTCCGTTTCGTCATACAGTCGTTGTATGTTAAAAGGATTGTTAAATATTAATGAAATTACATTTAAAAACACCGGATTTGATTGTAATTTTATATTTGTAAACGTGCCAGATTTGAAAAAAATGGTTTTTTTGTATGAGTCTAACAAAAAAATGTTTGAAAAACGAAAAATACAAGAAGAGATTGAAAACACAGTTGGTCACCCAATAGAAGTCGTGTTTGGACACCAAGTTAAACCAAATTTATGGGAAAATTAATAACAAGGTGTTTAACACGTTTTTATTATTTTAATTAATACAAATTAGTATTTAAATGTTATTTTAAAATTAAACAAATAATTTTCATAAAGCTTTCAAAAAATTAATAAAAACAATCAAAAAATAGTAGTTCACTTAGTTTTATAGTATTTTCTGTATAATTTCAGTTTTTTATATTCTTAAACGCCATTATTTATGATCGTTCAGTCAATTTTTATGTGTTATAATTAATTCCTGATTTTTTTGATTTTTTATTAAAACCACAAGTGTACGACTATTATCTTGCTGTATGATTATTTTTTGGTGGTCTATACTCAAACAAAATAAAATTAAATGAAAAACCCATTTTATTTGATTTAAAATTATTTTTTACTAATTTAAAAAAGACGACTCATTTTTATTATAATTCACTCAACATAACATGGATTTTCAATTAAAATTCTAATAAACAAATTAATTATATTTATATCAAATATTGATATTATTATTAACTAAAATGTATAAACAAATGTTAATAAGTAAAATTCATTGAAAACAACAGTTAGACTTAATTTCATTATTCTTTGTAATGTGTTGTTTATTCTCCTTATAATTTTTAGCAACTTCCATAAAAATATCATCAGTGTTAATATTTTGATACACAGATGATTCAAAAAATGTTGCATTCCACTTTTCAGCAATTTGTTGTCCCTCTTTATACGAAACTTTTCTCTGCATTTCTAAGTCGCATTTGTTACCACACAACACCACTGAAAGGTGTTTATTACTTTCAATTTCTTTGGTTTTGTAAATGTATTCTCTGGACGTTTTAGCGACTTCAAAAGATTTTAAAGAGTCTATAGAATAAATTATTATAAAACAACTACCACATTTAATGTATTGGTCTCGAAGTAGACTTGACTCCTCTATGGAAAACGAATCGAAAATATCAAAGTTGATGGAATTACCACCAATCGAAACTGTTTTACGGTAAAAGTCTTCAAAAGGAACATTATTGGGAAACGTGGGTTTGGGCAACCCAACAAATTGAGTTATTAATGACGTTTTACCACTGCCATCTTTACCTAACATAACTACTTTTAAGTCCATATTTCATTTTAAAGTTTATTTTTAATTCATTTTAAAAAATAT